TATCTGAGGGTTGCATCACCACCTGTTCTTTGGCTTTGACCCATCAAAGGAAACATTTTAGATAAACATCTGAGCTGAACTATAGCTAATGTTGCGTTGGATTTGTCCTCGGAACTCGGAAATCCCGACTTCCGAGTGGGAAAATTCAAATGAAACACCCCCCAAAGTCGGACCTCCGAGTCAGAAACTTGGAAGAATTTCAGAACTCCAACCTCGACATCCAAAAGGCAGCCCTCCGTATCAACAACAGTAAGTTTTAGGTGAAATGTGGTTATTTTACAAAGCACTTTTATATGAGCGCGTTTAAAACCAATGTTACATGTAGTGCTACATACTAAAAGTTTTGTTTGCATGTTGAACGTACAGCTTAGAACTATGTTAGTAAGAGGAATCTTCAAACATGGGAGGTGTGAGTCGCCATATAGGAATCCTGACTTCTCCGACTACCGTAACCAGAACACGGTTAACTTGGGTGTGAAATCCCATGTAAACTCTGCAATTTCACAAAAACACCAACCCAAAAAACCATAGACATAGTAGTTAACAGAATCAGACAGGACAAAACTTTACACAAAAGAACAAACCTCACAGCAGATGACATAGCACAACTGATAGGACTGGTAGCTAACTCCACTTACTTCACATACGACAACGCAATATACAAACAACTGGAAGGCTTCGCCATGGGTAACACGTTATCAGCCACCCTGTGCGAGTTTTTCATGGAGGACCTAGAGCAAAAAGCCATAGCCACTGCCCCCCCCCAAACTGCAAAATAAAATTATGGAAACGCTACGTAGACGACATACTGGAAATCATACCAAAAGGACAAACAGAAACACTAACACAACACTTGAATAACGTTAACGACACAGGCAACATAAAGTTCACTTATGAGTCAGAAACAGAAGGCAGTATAGCATTTATGGATATGGAAATCACCAGGCAGACCGACTGGACCCTAAACATAAACACATACAGGAAACCAACACACACAGACCAACATCTATTATGGACATCAGAACACCCCACCATACACAAAATGTCAGTAATCAGAACATTATGTCACAGAGCAAACATGATAACAGAAGAAAGAGACCGTAAACAAGAGGACAAACACGTACAACACGCTTTAAAGACCTGCGGATACCCAACATGGGCAATAAACAAAGGAAAACAACAAACAACAACAGAAAGAAAGAAAAAAACAACCAAAGCAAAGTACCAGAAACCCAGAAAGACAAGAACCAAAACCAGTGATAACCTTACCATACATCAGAGGCATAACAGAAAAAATAAGAGCAACGATGAAAAAATACAACATAAACACACCAACAAAGCCATACACAACAGTTAGAAACAGACTAGTGCACCCAAAAGATAAAATATCAGCTGGACTTAAATGTGGAGTCGTTTACGAAATCCCGTGCAAACTCTGCAATAAAACATACATAGGAGAAACCAGACGCCAACTCAACACACGAACAATAGAACACAGAAAGGAGTGCGAGAAAGAGGCAAGTCGAAAACACACAAGAGCAGCGAAACAAGAAGCAGAAAGTACAATAAAGAAGTCAGCTGTAACAGATCACTGCACAAGAGAAAACCATGTAATGGACTGGGACAACACAAGGATCATAAACACCAAACAGAAATACAAAAGATGGATAAAGGAAGCTATCGAGATAAGGAGACGTGGATGTAGGACCATGAAAAGAGACAATGGAGTTTACTCATTGGATCGTGCATGGGACTGCATCGTCGGAGAGGGGAGAGCGGGCAGCAGAGGGTGACAACGTCTGCTGCCCGCGGGTAAATGCAGTAAGAAGTGACGCCAAGCGCGTCAGCTCTGAGGATGTTTGCAGACGCAAACGAAACAGTTAGCAAGGTAAAGAGAAACCTTTCCTGTGTTTTAAAAAAGAACCAAAAATGGAATTAGAAGCCAAACACAGAAAGAACGTACCAAAGATCACAAAAGTATGCAAATGATGAACTTTGCATTATATGTCCTTTTTAAAACTCTTGCTAATATAACTGTGCGTTCAATAATTTCTTTTTTTTTTACTGAGTTTAATAGATATTCTTTCCGTGAATGTTTATTTATGCCAATTATATGTTAAAATTTGACAAAAAAATACAAAGATAACCCTACCCCTACGTCATCATAAGCAAATGTGCCCATGTAATGATGCTGTCACCACCATGCTGGACTGCATAAGCTCAGTGGTGCTGTGGGTCTGGTGCTCTTAAGGTCACAGTTCTGTTGTTTTATTCATCAGATCAACAAAAATCTAATCAAATGTGCTAAACTTAGCATTTGCAACGAGGCTTGTTTATACGCCATGTGCATTAGTGCCATTATCACAGAGGGGTTTAAAATATGCACCAAAATCAGTCACGAAGGATGACCTTTATTTAGTTTTCTATGTGTTGCCACTGATAATGACTTGCTGAGACAAAAGCCTATAGAAAATCGGCTTATTTACGTTATCTGCGCCTGTACCGCTGCGGTACAGCGTCCACGATCAGCTAGAGATACCAATGTGAAAGTCCAGGGATTAAATTACCACAACAGTTAGACATGAAGGCAGCTTTGGCTTCAAGATCAGTGTTTTGAGTAATCTCTCTTTGAGATTTCTGACACAATACAGTGGTATTATCCTACAATCACTGTCACATCAAAGGCTGTGCTGTCTTTTCTCTGCTTGAGTTTGGTATTAAAACCAAAGCAGTTGCTTTGGTTTTGGGAACAAGCCTCGTCCATTAAATCAAAAAATACTCAGACTGTCAGATTCCTTTCCTGATGCCAGTCTGGAACAATCCTTTATTAGGAGGAACCAGACTCAAGTAAGAGTTTGCACTTGCAAGCTATCTGAAAACCTACAGATGCAATCGGAGCTCAGAACCGGCTCACAGCTGCTCGCGCCTGGCTGCTGTTGCTTGTTTATGCACATATGGATGGACGGAGCCAGGTGAGTGTTTCATTTGCCATCAAGACATTGAATTCAGCAGGCATCTAATAACAAAGCAGTTATGGTCCACTTAGACATGCATAGAAATAAGTGGGCAACAACACTTAAGTCGCCAGCTATTCCCTCATCTCCTATAACACTCAGGCATCATCCAGGCTGGACCCAGATACTCCAGATTTCCATCAGCAGACTCGGGGATGAAATTAAAATCGCTCATTTTCTTCCTCCGTACAAGGAGCAGATCAATTTCCTGAGATGGGAGGGGGGCGTGATATTTTCCTGCCATTGGGCTTTCTCCTCTTTGGAGCGGCACCCTGACTGCCTTCCCAGCGGGAGGCCCGGGTCTGACTGCACGCCTCGCCGGAGAACAGTTACTTCTGCCGCTGCGAGTTTATTTGCGCCTCGCTATGAGAATTGCCATCATTTACCCTTCCCAACATCTCCCAAAACAGAGAAAAGAAATAGACAACCGGGGGAAGCGAGGCAAAACTGGGAGAGAGGCGAAATTGATTCTTTTTGATACATGCTGCATGGGGGACATTAGGTACACCTCGTTTGAGCACCTATTTGAAGAAATGAAGTGAATAAATTTAGCTTGATGTAATGTATAAGGCTTTTAGAGGCCTCTGCTGTTCTTATGTGACCTGGAATCACTTGTCCTCGCCTCGGTAGAGGTTACCCAAAAGATGCTGATCAGAATGAACTAATTAGGTGTTGATGACAAGTCCTTCCACACAAATGAGTTATGCAATCTATCAGTGTTCAGTTGTAAATCCTACTTCCTATTTCCTATTAATAATTCCCATTTACCAAATGGAGTGAATTGTGACCGTGTTTGCTAACGTGGATGAGCTCTAGCTGCCATCGTTAACTGGGTTGACACCAAAAGTTGGTCAGCTGCAGACGTTCATCCAACGCTGCTTACTCAGAGTTTTAGTAAATTCAGTCGAAACACACAAATGATGCTTTTATTTTGTTGGTAGTGGTTGGAGTGACCGGTGGTGCTGGTGGCGCCAGTGTTCAGCAGTCACGCTTCCATCAGTGCACCCCAGAGCAGTTGTGGCTCCATTTTAGCTCATCATTGTAGTGTGTGAATGTGTGTGAGAGTGGCTGGTTGACTGATTGTGTGTTGAAGCGTCTTGGGGGGTTGTAGAATCCTAAGGAGGCGGTATACAAATCAGGCCATTTACCATTTTAAATTAGACATTTGTTTGCATAAAATCTCTCGGACGTAAAGTGATTTCAGCAGTTTTTTTCTTGACGTTTTTGGTATCTTCCAGAATGAGCCGTTTCAGGGCTCTGTCACTTTAAGAAAACAAGCTAGATCTGGCCACGCCCACCCATCGACCCACTGACCCTTTTCATGTGACGTCACGCTACTCACGAAAAGGCCTCTTTCACCATCTTTTGAGGTATTTTGTCCCCCATTAGCATCCGGTGACCCGGCCAGCGATATAAAACTAGTACGGATCCGACTTGTAGGTTTTTTTAATCAGCTCCAGAGCAAAGTGAAAATTATATTTCATACAATAGGACACATGATTGGTGAATTCTGGCACGGTTATCGACTCGATCAAATCGATGAACACAGCAGCAGGAAGAAGGTAAGGGTCAGTTTCTTAGCTAGGTTACTAACTTTTGTAAACACCACCTTCTTTGAGCCTCAACTAGGTTTTCAACTTTTTTTGAAACATGAACTGTGCTTGAACTAGTAGAAGACAGTCCAAACTCCATTCAGTTCTGTGGCTCTATTCTGACTTTCCCTTTTGTGACATCACAAATTTGAAACGGCTTGTTTTAGGAAGATAATTCCTAAAATCAAACGATGAGAGAAAATGTATGAACAGGTTTTTTTCAAGTTTTGGAGTGTTTATAGAGGTGTTAGAGACTTGCAGCACAAAAGGATGCAAAAGATGAGTTTGCATATGTCCCCTTTAAAAGCTTAGATGTCGATTAGCCTTTTTACAAATTGTCTCCTGTTTTACTTGGCATTGACCCCGTCTTCTGTTTTCAGCCACCCGACCCATTCCCTTCTTTGAGTGGACACCCATCTGTTGCGTCAGAGAGGCAGTCAAGGTCTAATTAAAAGCACGTTGAGAAAGAACGCATAGATCCAGCCCCCTTTACCGCTCTGCGCACGCACCAGCATGCAGGCATCCTGAGGTGGATATTAGTCCAAAGAAAGCCAGGGAAGAGGTGCGAGTTGATCTGTTACCACTGAAACACTCAACAGTCGAACAAGAAGGTTTTGAAAAAGCAGCACAATGGCAGGAATCGAGGTAAGTCCTCCACATTTACCTGAAAATGACAAAATAATCTGTAGAGATGCATTTTCAGAAAAACAAAAGAAAAATGTTGGTTCAGTTTCTGATTTGGAGGAAAAAGTTTTAAGAACTTTAAAAGTGTAGTCTTTGCAGCAGCAGCAGCTGAGTGAAAGGAGGCGTTCCCTCCAGCCAATCAGAGCGCTGCATTCAGCAGCTGCCCAGATGTGGTCTGAAACACTCTTTCCACATTTTACTGGGAATAATGTGAAGCATTCAGGATTACATTTACTGTTACATTATATTGTCACGTGTGCTATATTTTCAGTTTTATCTATTTATTCATGTATTTTAGGCTAAAAGTACCAAATTACTTATGCATGCAGATACTTTTATCTTATTTTCCAATACTGTAAATTCTAAATGGTGAAATTCAGAGAAATTTTACTTTATTTGACTGTCTCAACCCACTCTAGAGGCTTCAGGCATGTGAAAGCTGAGCTCACATGTGGAAACAATTCAAGTCTGCGGGAGAAGAGTTTGCAGAATAACTGTGACTCACCAGAACGGGCTCACGTTGCGCCAGAAGATAAAAGATGATGTAGAAAGAAAAGTAACACCATGTTTGGTTCGCATGCACGAGTTTGGACCTCTCTGCTCAGAGCGTAGCTTTGTTGATATTCCCAGATTACTTCTCCTTAGATGGGATATGTTTATTCTTAATGTTTTAGGTGTTTTAACTTTAATCAGGTCTGAACGTGTTTATTGTTTCTGCTAAAAGAAACAAACTTTTAGGTGCGTTGTTGCTTTTTTAAAGGCTGACTACAGACAATCAATAAAGTTTAAAGTTCATTTGAGAGAAAGACTCAAACAGGATCCTTTGTGGTAATCTATTAGTTTTTCTTAAAGGACCATTATCCTGCTTTCCAAAGTATTTTCCTTCATTTCTGTAGTTCTTTTTTAATTTACACAAAATATTTTCTAAAGTTTTTAACCAAAAATCAAACAGAGACATTTTTCTTATTGTCTTGGTTGTTTTCTCTTGTCTTTATGATCTTTATGCAAATAAAGTAAGTCTTTTGGGCAGAAAGAAGCTAAACAACAACAACACAAGCAAAAACATGGTGGATTTGTCCCAAAAATAATTGAACTAATTTGGACGTTTACAGCGTTGTTGCTCCTAACTACTCGTCAATCAGTTAGACTTTTGGACTTATTTTGAACCTTTTACTGACTTTTCTTTCTTTGTAAAGACACTGCTCTCCTTTGAACTGAGCGACGTATCATGAAGGCCACATTTGTTCAGGTAGTAGACACACAGAGAGCCTTGAAGGTTCTGTGTTTGCCTTGTTTTCAGTACATGCGCGGTTTTGGGAACGAGTTCTCCTCTGAAGACCCGCGGTGTCCGGGATCCTTACCTGAGGGACAGGTAGCACAAACATTTCTTTGTCTTCTCACGTATCCTTTATGAAAATCAAGCGTTAAAAGCAGCTCTGATTGTGTGTTTTTACGTTGAATCTGTACAGAACAGTCCTCAGGTGTGTCCATATGGCCTCTACGCTGAGCAGCTCTCTGGCTCGGCCTTCACCTGCCCACGTCCAGCCAATAAGAGAAGGTTTGGCTTTAAATCGGTCACTTGAACCAAACAAATGATGGATAATAATAACTAAAGTTTGCTGCTTGATTTCTTTAGCTGGTTGTACCGAATCCTTCCGTCTGTTAAGCACAAACCCTTTACCCTTGTGCCATGTGGGGATCTGACGGAGAACTGGGATGAAGTGGAGCCTGACCCGAACCAGGTATAACCGCAATGATAGTGTTAGATCTGATTTAAAGAGCAAGTTCACTGAGAAACAGGTTTTTACTTGTTATATTTCAAATATATAGTCAGCCTGAGTTTAACGTTCAGGCTAAACGTGAAAATGTCTTCTACTGCTATTTCCTGCGTTAGCTTCTGATTGAGAATAAATGTGAAAAAGTCACCAGATGTACATCAGACTGTAGATTAGCATTCATGGACTCACCCACCTTGACTCATGACGGGGAAGGCGGTTTTGATTTTTGCAGCCAGGAGAGAGCAGAGCTACTAGTAGTAACTGTTAGCATTAGCAACTCTACAATGCGGCAGAACTGCTTCAGGCTTGTGTTTCATCAACATCAACGTTGCAGAGCAGACGGACACAGTGGAAGAGCTGTGTTGCTATTAGCCATTCAGAGGAGAGATGTCTGAGTATCAGGAAATAAGACTCCAAGTCCTGATGTCTTCTAGCCTGGCAAGTCATCCTATTTATGTAAAGTCTGGCCTCGGTGCATTGATGGCTCTCAGTCATGGGGCAGGATCTTCATTCGTCTTTCGAACTGTCTCTGTATGCTACTGGACAACAAACAATGTGATGTACCCCCCCCACGCTATGGACCTCAGCCAACGAGACAGTCCACCATACTCCGTCAGAGAAGAGGCAAATACATCCTTTTTCTACATAAACCTAAGTACCTCTATCTGCTCTTGACTCAAGTTAATACCAAAGCCATTTCAAGTGCGCCGTTGCCATCTTTGTATCAGTAACATCCCACCCACCTGGCTGATGGAGTGCTATGATTGGCCCGCCAAACCAATAGAGCACTGTGATCGGACTGCTACGGATGTCAGTCAACAGGGCAGTTTGCCATTACATCGTGGAAGAACTACGTAAAACATCAAACAAATTTAAATAATATGTCATTTTTCTAAATAAACGCATTGTGATTGGCCAGACACAATACCGGCCAGAGCTGTGAGGTTCCGATGGAGCGTTGCTAGACCGTTAATTTTGCTTCGGCGAATGACGAATTTTACTATTTTCAGGGTCTCAAAAATGTTGCATGAGGTTATGCGTAACAGCGCCACCTAGACATTTATAAACAGCCTAATCTGATGCACTTACCCAGAACCACACAAAAGTCTGTTGCACCCAACTGGTAGTCGGCCATTTTGGATTGAAATTGCTATTTTGACCCACATTGTAGCCTCTGTATTTGAACAAACTCCTTTAACAGATTTTGACTGATCAACTTGAAAATTGGCGGGTTTGCTCATAAAGCATGGGCAATCTAAAGTTATCAAAATCATGAGTTGTTGTGCATGCTGAAGGGGGCGGGGCTAAACCTCAATCTTTGGCTTCTCACCAAAAATACAAACTGGCCTAATTTAATGACAGAAAGTCATGAAACCTGATGTTGTTGGTCCTTATCTGGTTGCCAACAAAATGCAATGTTCAAACGATGGCGTCACCCAAGCCCCGCCCCCTCATGACAGGAAGTGTCACGTTTTACTGTTTACTGTGAAAGGTTCCTATTTGACCTCTTTAATTTAATCAACACAAATCTCTGCCAGGTAACAACAGATAAATATTGACTTTGCTCTCACTAACAGATGCGATGGCTGCCTTTCACCGTCCCCAAATCTACAGACAAGAAAGTGGACTTTGTGGCTGTGAGTTTAGCTTTTCCCCTCTACATTACCTTCACTGAATTAACAACACATCTCCGTTTAAAGACACAAAATATTGCTTTTCCGTATATTCCAGGGTCTTCATACCATTTGTGGTGCAGGAAACAGCAAATCCCGTAATGGCATTGCTGTCCACATGTACACCTGCAACACCTCCATGGCTGACAGGTCAAAATGTCCCAACACATACAAGCATTTTATATATTTGGCTGTTTCAGGAAGCTCGTTTTGTCTTGTTTCAGGTGCTTCAACAACTCAGATGGAGACTTTCTGATCGGTGAGGGGAAGAGTTACTGATGTTCTGCATCAGATGTTCTTTTTCTCAGTCATTTCTTTGTTTGCGTCACAGTCCCACAGCAGGGCGAGATCTTGGTCACCACTGAGTTTGGGAAGATGATGGTCGAACCGAACGAAATCTGTGTCATCCAGGTAGGCTCTACTACTTTCTACTTTGGTAGCTGCCGCCCCCACGCTCTGTCTTACCATATTTAGAAAGCCGAGGTTTGGCACTTTTCAGAAGTGACCTTCAAAAATAGATAATAGTGGAAAGAGGTTTCACGTTATGGACAGTCGGAACATCAGGACTGTGACTGCAGCATGTGTGTTTTTCCAAACAGACGATTAGTCCCCTCAGCACTGATACAGCCCACATTTGCTACATAACAGCACTAAATTTTCCTCTAACTGCCACTTTTCTTGTTTTTATTTTTCCAGCAAGGGATGCGCTTCAGTGTGGATGTGTTTGGAGAAACCAGAGGCTACATCTTAGAAGTGTATGGAGCCCATTTTGAGCTCCCTGACCTGGGGCCTATAGGTTTGTGTTTGTAGGATGGTTGTAAAGATGAAATAAAAACCTGCACACCAACCACTTTCCCTTTTTCCAGCAGCATGCTATTGTTGTCTAAACTGTTGACACTTATCTCTGAAAATCAGAGGGATTTTTTTTGCCATGCTAACCAGATTGATTGTACGATTTGATTCCCAGAATCGCATCTTTGTTGGGGAAAAAGTCCAAATAAGTTAGAGTAAACATTCATCTGCTGCCATAAAATTCTTCAATGTGTTTAAAGCCTTTGGTTTAAGAACACATTTATGCAAAATTAACACATTTGTATGTTGTTTCAGTTTGTTGAAAAAGAGATGATTACATTGCAGTTTTTCTGAACTGAGCTGTATGCTCTGGGGTAAACAGGGGCGGTTCTAGGCTAACATTAAAGGGGGGCAGGTTGGGGCCAGCTGCTCTGTTAGAGAGGCACCCTTTAGTGAGTAATTACAATAATATAAAAACATCAGTTCAGTCATGGTTACTTTAGACACAACAGTTATTCAAATAGTTTAAAAATATAACAATTTTGCAAAAAACTGTGTTATCTGATTTATTTATCCCAGTCAAGCATGGAGTATCAGATAAATGCATTCACATGCTTTGGTTCCACATCTCATATTATACTAATTATCACAAACAATCTGTACAAATTAATGCTTAGGCTCCGCCTTCAGCAGTGGGAGCCACAGGGGGTCTAAGCTTGCTGCATAGGGGGTGCTGGCTCCTCCTTGAAACCCCCTAGAACCACACCTGGGCATTAAAGCAAACTTCAGTAATTAATCAGATATGTTTTATTTATAGAGTACTAATTCTATCCTAATATAATCTTGTGTAAATAATATAAATACTAGTAAAATGATAATAAAAAATAAGAATTGTTATTATTATCTATTAATATGTATTATCACTTGACACATGTAGAAACTCCACATTTAGAACCAACACCGTTAGAGAGAGAGAGAAATGAGCAAATGAAATATGATCATTTAAGCATTATAGGATTGATGTCACCATGGAAACCACACACCTGTGAGACACTGGGACCCAGGCATACAGTCAATATAAAGTACAACTCAAACAAACAATTTCTTAGCAAAACGTCTTCTAAAATCAGGGGTCTTTAAACATTTCTGATCAAATATGAACTTGAAATACTTTGTAATATGCTGATTTGTGTGTGTGTGTGTGTGTGTGTGTGTGTGTGTGTGTGTGTGTGTGTGTGTGTGTGTGTGTGTGTGTGTGTGGTGGTGGTGGGGGTGGGCGGGGGGGTGGGGGGGTTAGAGGTGGATGAGCTGGTTGTTGTTCTTGAATCCAGCTTTCCTTGTAAACAGCTTACACCCATTATGTCATTTTCTTCCTTTGAACTGTGCCTGTTTGAACTGCCCCCCCCCCCCCCCCCCCGTGCTCATTGTGCTGATTCATCGCCCTCCAAAGACAGACTCTAACTTCCTGAAGGATTTTCTATGATCTTGTGGCAGACTGCATCCTAAAATATGACTATGTCCTATTTTTTGGTGATTTTAACATCCATATCTGCTGTCCTGACAATGTGCTTGTTAAAGGGTTTTTAAATTTGCTAGATTCATTCAATTTGACTCAATGGGTATCGTCCCCAACTCATGCCAGTGGTCACACCCTAGACCTGGTTCTCTCTTTTGGTCTACCCACCATGAACCTTGTGACTTTGCCTCCTGTGTTCTCTGACCACTCTCCAATACTCTGTGATGTTACGTTGCCATGTCCTGTCCCTGTGTGTGAAGCTCCAGCTACTAGGTTCAGAGCCCTGGATGCAGAAACTATTTCAAAGTTTGTGGACTGTATGTCTGTAAGGTTAGAGACCTTTAACCCTGATCCATCTAACACTGAACACTATTCACAACACTTTGATTTACTTTGTAATCAGGTCCTGGACGTGGTTGCCCCTCTCAAGCTTTGCAAGTCTCAGCCTAGAAGGGAGCCTTGGCTCTCTGATGTCACACGGGCTTGTCACACGGGCTTGTAGGCAGGCGTGTAGATCCTCTGAGAGAAAGTGGAAAAAGGATGGCCTACAGGTCTCGCGTGAATTGTTCAGAGCATCTCTGGCTGCTTATCAGGATGCTGTGAGGGCTGCTAGAACGGCCTATTTTGCAGACATCATCGAAACTAACTCCAAGAATCCCAAGATTCTCTACAAAACACTGAACTCTGTTCTGGTGTATCAGGAGCCTAGCTTCACGTCTCCTACAGCTGCTGGAAACTCTGAAGATTTTCACAAATTCTTTGTTCATAAAGTATCGGGCATTAGAGCAGCTATTTCTGGTAACTCTATTGACCCTGTTCCAGTTCCTCATCACCACCCACCCTGAGCTCCCTCAATAACTTTTCTTATTCTGAGCTGAGTAAGCTTGTTGCGAGGCAGAAGCCATCTGGCTCTCCACTTGAGGTTCTGCCTCCTCATCTCTGGAAGGCTGCCTTTCCGTGTCTTGGCCCATCACTTGGTCAGATTATCAATGGGAGCCTCAGCACAGGTGTGGTCCCAGCTGCCTTGAAAGAAGCAGTTGTTCGGCCGACCCTGAAGAAACCTGGTGCTGATGTCTCTGTGATCGAAAATTACAGGCCTATCTCTACCCTGCCCTTTACATCAAAACTGCTTGAGAAAGTCGTTTATCAGCAGCTGGTCTCACATTTAGCTGACTCTGATCTGTTTGAGGTTTTCCAACCAGGGTTCAGGTCTGGCCATAGCACAGAGTAAGCTCTACTGAGGGTCTTAAATGATATCTATCTTTCACTAGATCAGGGTGCTTCTGTTGTTAGACCTGACGGCAGCCTTCGACACAGTTGACCACGCAGTTCTGCTTGATTGCTTGGAACGATAAGTTGGGATCAAAGGGTCTGTTCTGGATTGGTTTAGATCGTATCTCCACAACAGGACATTCTGCGTTAAACTCTGTGATGTTTTTTCTTCTTGGGAGGGGCTCCGCTGGGGGGTCCCGCAGGGATCGATCCTTGGTCCTCTTTTGTTTGCCATTTATTTGCTTCCTCTGGGGTCGATCTTTCGTAAACATGGCCCAGCGTTCCATCTCTATGCTGACGATTGCCAGATTTACTCTCCATTGTGTCAGAAGAAAGGTCTCTATCCAGTCCTTTGTGTCCTGTCTTAACAAAGTGAAGTCTTGGGTAATGGCCAACTATCTGCATCTAAATGAAGGAAAGACACAGTTCAGTGTTTTTCACCCCAACAGCAGGGCTGTGGGTCATTTTGTTGATCTTGGCCCTCTTTCTCCCTACTCAAAACCAGTTGTCACCAGTTTGGGGGTGAAAACTGACGCTGGATTAAATTTGATGCTCACATCAGCTCTGTGATCCGGTCCAGTTTCTTTCATCTGAGACGCCTTGCAAAAATCAAGCCTACGCTGTCAACAGCCCACCTGGAGCAGGTACTCCATGCTTTTGTAATTTCTAGGCTTGATCACTGCAACTCTCTATATGCCGGACTGGGTCAATCATCACTGCACCGCCTACAGGTTGTGCAGAACAGCGCAGCCAGGTTTCTGACTATAACGAGGAAACGGGACCACATCAGTCCGGTTCTGGCCTCCCTGCACTGGTTTCCGGTCTGTTATCGTTCACACTTTAAACTCCTCGTCTTTGTTTACAATTTCTTCCAGGGTAGTGCTCCCGACTATCTAGCCACGCTCCTGAACAGACATTCCCCATCATGCGCTCTGTGCTCCTCTGACCAAGGTCTGCTCGCAGTCCCTCGTTCTAGGTGTCATACTCATGGGGACCGGACTTTCTCAGTCCTAGCCCCATCACTCTGGAACCAGTTGCCACCCTCAGTCAGGCTATCCCCATCTCTGCCAGTCTTTAAGAGTCGCCTAAAAACCCACCTCCTCCGCTTGGCATTCCCTGAATGTGTTTGACTTAAGTCTGATTCATGCTTCTCCGTCAGCTCCGCAAGGGACAGACACGCACGGATTGACGGAAGTGTTTTGCTCTCATACTTCTCCGTCTCCTGGAGAGTGTAGCAAAGCAATTCCCCGGCAGGACCACAGAGGGCGTAGCGCTGTTCTGTGGTATCCTGTCATGTATCGATCCAAGATAGTGTGTTTGTATTGTGTTTTTTGTATATAAGAGACTTTTTAACAGACACATTTGTTTCTCATCCTCCTCCACCTCTTCGTGCGCTCGCCACCTCTAAACCCACGTTTCCCGTCATTTCTGTCCACAAATAAAACGCTTGCTGTGCATCTTTTCACTCCTCCGGTCACGGGGGAATTAAACGTTCATGTTTTTAGAGTTTTTTCGCGAGGTATTCTTCAAGCTTCTCCATGTCTGCCGCTTGTTATTCTCAGCTCTCTTTATGTTTTTGAGGGCGCAATGGCGGCGGTGTAGACAACAGTGGCGTCCTGACCAATCAGAAGCTTGCGTTGTCCGTCTCGACGGACGGATGTTTAGAAAAGAGAGCTCGACTCTGTGCGTCCTTGCGGAGCTCTCCAGCAGGTCTGCAAGGACGGATAATGGCGTGGCGTGTCCCCGCACTGATGCAGACGGAGAAGCATGGATCAGGCTTTAGGCCTTCATTTATGTTGATTTTAATTCCCTGCTTTCATTGGTCTCTTTATCTCTTGTTTTACCCATTTGTTTTCTACTTGAATGTTTTACCTGTTTTTCTCATGTACCGTGTTCAGCGCCTTGGGCTTCCCGACAGGGTCGCGGAAGGCGCTTTATAAATAAAGCTTTGATTGATTGATTGATTGATTGATTGATTGTGTGTGTGTGTTTAGGAGCCAATGGTCTGGCCAACCCAAGAGACTTCCTGTATCCAGTTGCGTGGTACGAGGATCGCAAAGTGCCCACTGGTTACACGGTCATCAACAAATACCAGGGAAAGCTGTTTGCTTGCCAACAGGTGGTTATTGTGACATTGTGTGTGTGTGTGTGTGTGTGTGTGTGTGTGTGTGTGTGCAGTAATCTAACACACTGTCTGCGAGGAACACAAACACACATGCTGCAGACTTGCCCTATTACCCTATTTAGGTTTGAGTTTGCTTCAGTAAACGCCATCAAACTGCCACAGCGACTAACAGGAAACGGTCCAAGTGAAGCATGTGATCCATTAGCCGCTCCTGCCGGCTGAATTGTCATCCCTGATGATTTAATATCCAAGCCTTAGCTGTTATCCTTTCACTGGGTTTCCGCTCCGACTCCCTTATGAGTCTTAATCACTCATAATTAGTTAAGGCATTCTGGAGCTGCAGACAGCGTACCTGTGAAGCCGTTGCTTTACGGGAAGAAAAAACCTTTTTTCCAAGTAAAGCATTAATTTCACCATATTTCACTCAGGAAATGATCCTCCCCTCCTGAATTTCCCAATAGGCGCATAATTGGATCGACACATAATGTCTTGACAGGAGTTCTTTTCTTTAAAAACGGAGACAGGGAATAGATGTGAGGAAGGCTCTGACACGGGCAGGGATTAGGAGGTTGTAACCATGGAAACGATGTCAATTTACACTTTTATGCATACATGAAATAATAGCTATAGATAAAGGCTTCTTTATTGAGGAAAAGTAACCTTTATTTTAACAAGCTGTCTTCTTGATGACAAAGCTCTGGAGGTGGGAGGTGACTCTGCTGGTTTCGTCCAGGCTGCAGGGTGAGGCTGGGAAGCGAGACACGCAGAGGCCTCGTCTCAAGGAAAACATGCTGCAGCTCCTGTCTGGTCCTGCTGTTTCGTTCCCCCGCAGAGTGCTAAAATTGCTCAAATTAACTTATTATTTGCTCGACTGGGCCAATATGTTTGTGTTCCGTGTGCACGTGTGTGCAACTCCTCCGTTTTTCTTATTTTGTCCCTCCTTTCACCTTAATCGAATGTAGTGGAGTTATCACAGATGAAAGTCCAAGAGATTACCTGCACCGGGTCTCAAAAAGAACCTTTTGTTTGGTGTGTGAAGTTAAGTTGTCCCCGGTGTTCATTAGATATATCGTGTGTGGATTTCCGCACGTTCCGCACGCGCGCACACACACACACACACACACACATTTCTGTGAATGTATATGTGCTTTTATTCTTGGTGCTTGTGTGTGGAGGTGTACTGGCGTGTGTGTGTGTGTGTGTGTGTGTGTGTGTGTGTGTGTGGGAGGACAGAGGTCAGTATGGAGGCAGTTTGAGTTGTAATGAACTATATTGATTTTAGAGCTGCTGTTGAATGTCTTTTTCGCAGCGACATTATCAGAACAGAGAAACTATATAAAATTGCTGCAGTTTTAACAATCAAAAGAATATCTCTGCACCCACAGATGCCCCCCCCCCAACTGCAAGCGTCAAAATGCTCGAAGTTTGGGAAAGTTTGATTGTGAAGCCAATTACCCCATAATACCTGGAGCCTCGTATCACAAAGAACAGGAGGGGATTGAAAGAGAAGAAAAATTGAAAGAAGCACACCCTCTTACAATTTTCATTATGACCGTCTTTTTTTTCTCTCTTTATGTCAAGAAGTACTTTCTTGGAATTTAAGATTACAAAGACATTATTCATTGTTCCTTCTTCCCTGTAAAAAGCTCAATTTAAAGTCTTTTGTGTTTGTTGCTCAGGTAGACTTCTCTTATTTTTTTTATTTATTTTTTTTTACTGCTTTGCAGGATTTCTCTCCATTCAATGTGGTCGCCTGGCACGGCAACTACGCGCCCTACAAATACAACCTGAAGAACTTCATGGTCATCAACTGCGTGGCCTTTGATCACGCGGTGCAGTCATTCTCCATTTATGCAGCTGAAACAAATGGAGTGAAATCCTCTAAACGGTGACATTTGTTTTCCTAGGATCCATCCATCTTTACTGTGCTGACCGCCAAATCCACAAAACCAGGTGTGGCCGTTGCTGACTTTGTCATCTTCCCACCTCGATGGGGCGTAGCCGACCACACCTTCCGTCCACCCTACTATCACCGTAAGGATTTGATCTTGTAATGAATCTTTAGGTTCATTTTTGTTAAAGAGCAAGTTCACTTAGAATCTGTTTTGTGCTTGTTATTTTTTAAATATCATCATTCACGCTGAGCTTCACATGCAGGCTAAAGGTGAAAAATCTACCCCTATTTCCTGCATTAGCCGCTGTTCTGACAGCACCATACATATCAGATCATGAACAAATAAACTGCATGCATATATGTTGATGGCGCACACGCACGTTTATCTAAGCCTCCGTTACGTTCTGAGGAGCCGTCAGTTTAGCACACAGACGGCAAAGTACGAAGAATACGTCGGTCGATTGTGTTGTTTTGCCATCCACAAAAATGAGCTGATGAATGTGCATCACAACTTTGTATTTTACTAATTCTGAAAAACTTTTAGAAAATAAAGCTTTAAAAATGTCTAATTGAAAAGTCATGGTGTCATACGGTTGCTAAAACAAAGTGTGTGATGATCTGATGATTGAAGTGGCCCATCAAAGTGCATATAGCTTAAGAAATGTATGATGATCTGACAGCATATACCTGTCTGATAGAATTGTGCTGTCAGACAGGCATATGCTGTTATTTTGCATATGCCAATCTGACAATGTATGGTGATTGGACAGAACACCACCGATTGATAATTGACGGGGAAATGCTCGGATTATTAGCCACTCAGATCTACGTCATACTGTAAGTTAACATTCATGGACTCACCCATCTTGGGTCAGGACGAGGAAGGCTGTTGTTGATTTAGAGTCCAGGAGAGAGCAGAGCATGCCTCGGTTGGTAGAAGCTAACCGCTAACATTAGCAACTCTACGACATGGGAGAACTCCTCTAGGCTTGTGTTATTTGTGGAGGTAAAACATCAACGTTGCAGCGCAAACGCAGTCCGTGGTAGAGTTGCATTGCTGTTGGCCAATCAATGTCTAAATATCAGGAAATAAGACTCCAAATCTAGTTGTGTTCTGCTCCTCTCTGCTCGGGCTCAGTTTTAGTTTCTGAAACAGGAGCGCCAGAGCTTTATTTCTCTACAGAAAACAACTTACAAGGCATTCATTCATGCTAGACCAAATGTGTTGGAAAAAAAAACAAAAAAACTAGTGAACTTGGTCTTTAAAACAGCTGAATGCACTGATAGAAAGTCAGAATCAGTCCACTGAGGTGAATTTTATTATATTCAGGACTAAACCAAGTCATGTAGAAGCTAACAGACCCATTTACCCAGCAGTGTCAAGACTATCAGAGAGCAATCCACCTGCTGTATGACTCACTTCAAACCTCTGTGCCTTTTGTCTGGTCTTACCACAGATCTGCAAGGCCATCTAGTGGAAAACCTCACCTTTCTGTTCCTGACACAGTGCTGTGTTACAGCGTCTCCTGCTTGTCATTTCAGGCAACTGCATGAGTGAATTCATGGGTCTGATTGAAGGTCACTACGAAGCCAAAGAGGAGGGATTCCTTCCAGGAGGGGCCAGCCTGCACAGCATAATGACCCCCCATGGTCCTGACGCAGACTGCTTTGAGAAGAACTGCACAGCCGAGCTCCAACCTGAGCGGGTGGCTGAGGAAACCATGGTAACAACTAAGTTCAGTAAATACAAAGGATAAAAAGGCCTAGAAGATTAAGTAATTTACAGAGATTAACCCTGTGGTTTAAAAAGCTGAGTTCAGTTTCACAAGCCCCATACAGTCCTGAAGAATTAACAGTAAAACTTTACAATAAAGGTCCCTTTATTAACATTACTTAGTGCATTATTAAGCATTAATAAACTATTAAATAAAGTATTGACAACTGTTTAACCATACTATGTAATGTAGTACTGAGCAGACCCCCCTGGCCCTGTGTCCTAATCTTAAGGACGCCTAATAGTTAACAATAACAGGAATGTCAATAAAGGGATCCTTTGTTAATTAATGCTTAATAATGCACTAACGTTAATAAATGGATCCTCTATTAATTAATGCTTAATAATGCACTATCATTAATAAAGGGATATTTTGTTAATCATGCTTAATAATGCACTAAGTAACGTTAATAAAGGGATCCTTTGTTTATTAATGCTTAATAATGCACTAAGTATCATTAATAAAGGGACCCTTATAGTAAAGTATTACTGAATTAGCTAAAATACTTCAAAAAGCAAAATATCAGGCCTCATTAAGAACCTCAAGAACATAAGAACCCAGAAAACAACAAAAGCATTGCAAGTTGGGTATGGTAATGAGGTCAGAGGTTGTGGTTTAACCACAATAAAAAGACAAAGGGGGACACGTGACATCATGGGAGAATTTTAGGACCAGTTTTAGAAACGACATGTTTGCCACAAACATCTTGGTGGTCTCCAAGTGGAAATATTGTTTTGACTGAACAGACAGACAGAACTGGAATGATGGAGCAAAATGGCAGCTAGGCCTCTATCCAGTCTGACATTAAAATTAATATTTTTATAAACAAACACCTGTTAAAAGTTGTATTATCAACCCAATTTGCATGACCAGAGGTCATATTGGTTCTGTCTCTTCCAGGCCTTCATGTTTGAGTCGTCCTTCAGTATGGCCGTGACTAAATGGGGTCTGCAAACATGTCAGAAACTGGACAAGACCTACCACCAGTGCTGGGAACCACTGCGCAGCCACTTCAATCCCAACTGGAAGCCCAGCAAGAAGTAAAAGACAACAACTGTTTACCAAAGCAGATGTGTAAAAAAAAATAAATAACATTTCTGGACCTAACAAACATCAATCTGTTGTTTTGTGATATATTTTATATGATTTGAGTTTCACAAAATATCTGTTATTTTACACTTTTACTTTCCACACAACAAATCTCTTCAACTGATGTTGCCAGTTCCTTTATTTTGTTGCAGGACAAAATAAATGCACATTTCCTCCAGCCACACTTTGTTGTAGCCACAGACATGAATGCGTAGATGCCCTATTGAGCATTTGAGAGCGAAACAGCACCTCCGCCATATGGATTGGTTACTCACTCTTTTAACCTAACTGGAGTCAACTATGGCCGTTTTTTGTGCCAGCTATGGTTGCAACACCAGGCGCACTATTGAGAACAGCTCACGTAGGACTACTATTGACTTTTCTAGCCTACTTGTTGGAATTTTTAAATTATTCATTTGAATTATAATTATGCCATTCTATATGTCTGATTTTTTTTTGTTGGGTTAACACCTCCCTCAGTAGAAATAAATGCACTGGGGGCGAATGGGTACTCATCCAAGATGGTGGCCTGCTGCTATACCAGCTCCAGTCCATGTTGCGCCTACATATAGGATGTCTGTGGTGCTGCCATATAGAACTACAATGATGGCATCTGCTTAGAAATGGTGCTCGTCTGAAACGGCGTTGGCATCAACTTTTGACAATTTAGACTTGGTCCTTTCTTTGAGACATGAGCGGATAGAGGTACTTCTACTTCTGCAACTGTGTATGGCAGACTGCCAGGTTGACTGACACTGGTCATTATATGACATGTTTATTGTTGATTGGTTCTAGTGCTGTCTAATTGTGTGCAGAGAACCGTAGATGCCACCCCACGACAGAACTCTAAGGGTCAGACCACATATTTACATGTATAGGATGGCTTTCAGAAGAAAATTCATCAGAGATGGCCCCACCTGTACTACGTGGTTTATTTACTTAATTATGGGGAAAATTTACTGCTTCAATGCACATACAGCACTTATGAAAACAAAATCAAAGCCAAGATCTTTGACAATATGATTTAATTTGGTTAATGATAATTACACACAAGGAGAGCATCTCTAGAGGGTCTTTTTACACATGTGCTCATGACAACAAACTGAACTTGCGCTTGAGCGTTCCAGCCTTGATCTTCGCCTCCTTATTATCCTGTAAAACAGATGATTGGGTGTTAGTTTCCATAGCAACAAAGACACATCACCTTCTGGAGATTTTCACAACTGCACGCTTTATGATCCTGTGACTTTCAGGCAGTTTTATTTTTTCGACGCACATGATAGCTTAGCAGTGAGACGAGAGGTGATTGCTGATGGCTCAGAGGATGAATCTCCATGACAATCAGGAGGAAAAGAAGAACCCAGACACATTTATTTCTAATGTGAACTGATGCGAGTGGGAAAAGGCACATTAACTGTGCACCTTTAAGAGAAAAATGACTATGAAGCACATTTTTTAGATGTCTTCAAGTTGTTATCCTGAGTAATTGATGCTATTAAAGTCACATTATACATCAGAAAAACACATTTTCTTTTGCTTTAATTCTAATTTCTTAGCTGCTCTTTGTAAATATTCAAAACAGCCACAGTTAGCTGGATTCATGCAGAAATGTACTGAAAATACAACATTATGATGAAGTATCAAGCAAACAAAAGTACTTCTCATCTCGTACCCGATCTGTTTTGAAGACGTAGTACATAACAAAGAGAGGCACCACTCCACATATGGCACCAAGCAGAGAAGTCTTCTTCGTAACTCTGAAATTAGGGTAAGGGTTGGCTCGTGCATACACCCACCGTGTCAGGGCAGGGTCTTCCTGCAAAACCAGGATCAACAATCACCTTTTAGTAATCGCTGTGTCTTAAAAATAGATTTAAATAACAGGGTTAAAGAAAGCACGTGGAACTATTAGATGCTGGAATTAGACCTATACTCATTTACTGTATAAATAACTTTTGAAATTGTCTTTGAGTGAAGCAAATTTAAAACATCCCTCCTAAAAGTCTAAATGAATCAAAAATGAATAAGTATTAGAGACAAATTTATTATTCACTATTTATGCTGAATTAGTAAATAAATCTGTTAAATTAACATCAACAACAGTGCACAAATTTTCTTTTCAAACCATAATTATAAGCAACTGATTTACATCTGAATAAATTTGCTCCTAATGCTGATTAAATTGACTACTGAGAATAAAAATCAGCCGATATGGGTTTTTCTTCTGTCGATAGATACGTAGAGGTCATGATCAGCCGATGGCCGATATCTAGGCATCTTCCACTTCATTTGCATGCTAAAATGTCACCAATAACAGAGCAAATGTAATATTTTCTCTCTGACCAACTAACTGTTGAATCACAATTCTGTGCACTGCTTAGTATTAAAATTAAACATTTAACTAAACTGACAAGTTATAAAAATGAAAGTCTTTATTTTTTATTAAGCAGATGTTTAATGTAAACATACATTTAAATAAAAAAATTGGCAGCAGCATCTGGGGGGCTGCCCGAGGACGTGCCTGTTTTTAAATCGGCTGTATTAAAGAGGCATTTTGGTCTCATATATCAGTCTATCCCGAATCAAGAATGGGACCAAAATGTATTCCTGAAAAAATAACAGCTACCCAGTTACAAAACAAGCACTGAGCAGGGAATTTTCAAGTTTAAATTTGAGTGCAAAACATTTAAATATAAAGAAAATTAGAGTTTAGAAAAAACTAACAGAAAATAAAAACGGTAAACTAATGTTTAACATATTTGCTGTTTGTATTTGATGAACCACCAAATGATTCAGGGTAAAGTACTCTGTTTATCCGTCTTTTTGTTGTGGTCAAACGCATCTTGATGATGAATGACAATAAATTATCTGAATCTGAATTAAAGTTTTCTGCGTAACCAATTACCAACATGCAAATATTGTCAACAAAGTTTAAGATTTTAACTTGTAGATCAGGTTGTCTTCAACAAAACAGAATAATTCTGTCAAACCAAAATGTAGAGTTGTAGCTAAACTATTTTTCGCTGTGTGGATTCATGTTCTCTACTTTTAAAGCATCCTGCTAGCTACCTTGCATTTTTAGCGTACATGCAAATGAAATAGTTAAGTCCCCTCTGGTAAAGTTATTAAATTATCATTATTATTTATTTAAACGAAATTATATTTTTTCCAGTCTTGCCTTATGTGATACAATAAGCTACAGATGCATTTCAGCAAATAGCCTATGCCCAGTTAAGAAAAGGTGACTTTGCCTGCTAGCAAGTAGCCACTTACGATCAGCTCTTTTCTGTGCGGGTTATTCAGCTCTATCTGATACTGCCTCTTCAGGTTGGCACGCAGAGCCATCCTAGACTCTTCTAAACGTCTCTGCTCTGGAGAAAGGTTGAAATATTCATTTGGATCCAGTGTTTTTGGCCGAGTGGCCAAGGGCGCCTCTCGGTAGTCCGCCATGATTGTTTGCTGACGGGAGGAACGTGAGTTTGTAAAGTCTCGCGATGATAGACCGAAAATCTCCACGGCAACATCACACTAATTTACTCCACGTCTCAAACGCAACAATGAGCGCGTCGAGGAGCTCAGCTGGTAAAAAAGAGACAAGCTCCCACAACCAGGACGAAACTCGTCCTATTCCGAAGTCAATTTCAACCGTTCACCAACAACCACCAGTCGTTAACTTTTTGCGGAACTTTCTTCACCAAAGCGGCATGACAACGACGCTCGACTGTTTTGAAACTGAGTGGACTGATGTGGCGCAGAAAGGTCCGGCGGATGCGAGTGGGGTCGGTGCGGTACCGGAAGTGTACACAGAAAACCTGCGCTTGGAGAGCAATCTGAAGCACGCTCGAGAGGAGAACGAGGAATACAGACAGGCGGCCTGCGCCATAGCGGAGACCCTGCTGCGGGTCCAGAAGGAACGAGACCACCACCGGATGCAGCATCTGCGTGTCCTCCAGGAGAAACACAGACTCATACAGGAGATGAAGAGACTAAAACTGCGACGGGACAGCTATGAAACTACATTAAAGAGGATGACTGAGAAACACCTGGCAGTTCTACAGAAAAACTTGGCGGCTGTAGAGGAGGAAGCAGATGTGACCCTGCAGGACCACCAAATCACCTAAAAGCTCCTTCAAACACATTTTAATCTTTTTGTGACAGATATAAAAACCTGTAGAATTTAATTGAATTTGAAATATTTCCCTCTACAATTTAAAGTGACACATGTGTATTTTGTTGATATTTGCACAAGCCTGGTGTAATTTAGATTTTTAAATCCGAGTCATGCATGATGATCCATCTATCCATGTAAACACAATAAAGTAAAGAATGTAAAGAATGTGATAGCAAAACAGTTCCTAAAGTATGCTCCCAAGCCAGTGTTGTGTCAAAGTTCTTGGCAGAACACTGGCTTTCCTTAAACATCATCTTTTATTTTTCTATTTGTCTCTCTTTCATCTTTTGCTGAGGAAATGTTGCATTTTATAACCGCTAGAGGGCAGTATGTATCAAGCTGTGTGCTGTTACAGAGATCGAACGTTAACCACAGGGAAATATCAACTAGAGATTATGGCAAAACTTGTCTCATTTTTTAAATTTATTTGTTGTCATTTACCAGAAAAATTGCACTAAACAACAAATAATACACAGTAAAATCAAATCAAGGGTTTCCTTCTGTAACAACAGATCCAGGTTTTGCACACTTCTGGTGTCTTCCTCAGAAGCATTACTCTAATGTCGATGTGACGTGCCTATCAGCTGTTTTATGCAGACACTGGATGACGGTTACACCCTCTGCTGCATCAAGTCACAAGGCAATTTGCTGGGTTCCTTATAATGGAAACTTTTTTTCTGATTGGCTTAATGAACTGACCTGCATTGCAATGTTCATCATGAGAAGTACCTTGAGAAGACTCTTGTCGTGATTTGGCGCTATATAAATAAACTTGAATTGAACTTGAGTTGTTGGCTTCCTAAGGACTGCATCCCGTGTGTGGGTCAAAGTGTTGATTCCCTCATCTCTGTTCATGGTCCTTGGGTGCTGCCTGTTTCTCTCTTGCAAGTTATTTTGATTTCCAGGGGGTTTTCATATTTGACTCCACTGTTTTGCTCCGTAATAATTTTTCATCCTTGGGGTGTACCTGTATTTCTCTGAGTGTTCTGTATGGTTTGACCCCCGGTCAATTGGGGCAGTTGTGCTGCTCATACTGACCCATGTTCTGATTGAGTTTTCCTCTCCACTGTCGCTACATGCTTGCTTATATGGAGATTGCTGTAAAGTCTGACACAACAAGTCAGTGACTCGATGCAATCTGCTGGGTTTCCTTGGCAAACATTTAACTAACTGGAAAAAAGAACTAAACTCAATTCACTCATAAGTAGGTTCAATGGGAATGTTTACTTTGCCTTGAGATGACTCTTGTTTTGATTTGGCGCTATATAAATACACTCATTTAAATTTAATATGTGTGTTTATGTGATGTTTCTTTAAAGCTGCTTGTATTCTTTCTGTTATAGCCAAGATTTATGGTATAGTGGCCATCCCAGTCTTTAAATTTTTAATTGTCTTTCCATTTTACTTGTTCCCTTCCTTTTCTAGAGCCCACTGGTAGTTTTTCAGAGCTATTTGTACGTGTTTTTCCTGTTTCGTCCTGTCTTGTTGCTCTGTGATAATCATAATCCTCATTATTATTATTATTATTATTATTATTATTCGGAATAAGAAGCCATGTGTTGTCCTCACACCATTCTGACTTTCCCACTTGAGCTGCAGACATGCTGAGAGAGCTCTTTGATCCGCTGGGGGCCCGGGCACTGCCATGACCAAATGATTTATGGTCCCCTCAGGACCTCTGAAGTACCACCCGCTCTGTAGCCCTGAAACATCTATTTATGACTCAGAAATGGAATTCAGTGGGAGACTACAGTGCAGGGAGAGATTTAGCCTGAAATTAACTAATATGTTTCTGCCCTGGCTGGCGTCCCGTCACCTCCACAGAACGCGAGATGAACTTAAAGAGTGTTCTAGCTCCAGAAACATTAATCGTGTTTTTCTCCTCTTTGTTCCTGTCTCGCAGCTTGTGACGATGTGTTTCTGTTCCGCGGAGCTCCTTTTCCACGATAATGAATGGCATTTATTGTCGATGTGCTGTTTTTGGGCCGGAAAGTGTGCCAGGCAACATAGATAAGGACGCTACAGAAGCTAGGAGATAAGAGAACAACACAGGTATTGATGATTTCTATCTGCTGTCTTGCAAGACGTAATCATCTGTAATCTGAAGGTATTTTGTGCAGCTTCAGTCTTTTAAGAGAGTCGGCAGTCTTAAAACGGGTGAAGAAGTTTCTTTTCTGACCACGTTTGGAGCACTTTTCTCATCAAAGCTCCCTGAAGTGGTAGCTTGACTTAGAGGCGGTGACCTAATGTGTCACAGCATGCAGCCCTTTGGGGTTCAGGCTGATTGGTAATTCCTCCCCTGCCTGCCTGGCTCCTCTCCACTGACAGCCCTGTCCACTTCAAAGCCCACAACAACCTTTGCATCATATGGAGGAGAAAGGAGAAAATTCTTCTTCACTTATTGCTTGAATCTTTTTTTCTAGCTCATGCATGTGCGGTTTACCCGGCTCTGAACTGGGACTGGTTCACCAAGATGGCTCCAGTGTAGTTATCATGGCTCCTAAGTGATATTTTGACTTTGTACTCTCCCAAATGAATCGTGAAGAGATGCTTTTCAATTCTTCATAAACTCAACTTGCCATCCTTTTCCTAATCTTTACATATGAAATTGATTCACCCCGTCTGCCAACACCCTCCTAATAAATTAGTTTGGGGGGATAGAGGGCAGCACGCAGAACTCAGCAGTATTTTCTGCTTTAATGAACTATGCAAGGTATATTGGATCATGACTGGTACCGACCAGGCATGCATCATCTTCAAAGAGAGCTACGCAGATGACAGAGTTCTGCCTTTTCTCCTTCAGCTGTGCTCATTTCAAGAAAGAAAAACACATTTTCATCAGTTGTTACGTTTTCTCCAGGAGTGTTGGCTCTGAGCCAGGTGGGATTTATGTAAGGTAGCGGCCAGAGGTTGTCAATAATCTTTGCAAAATTAGCTGCATCAGTGTTTTTAGTTCTTTTTGTGGAAACTAGCAATTGTTCTCAAAATTTTCCGGCGTGGCCGTAATCATGAAAAAGAATACAAGGCAATTAACATCCTGTGTTAAATATAATAAAACGGGAGCATCTCTTTAGCCTTAGCGGGGTCCCGGAGGGAGTTTGCCCGAAACCTGCTTACGTGTGTTTTGTGGAGAAGATGATTGACCACATCCCTTGGAGGGCCCTGCAGGGGTCCATGTTGCCGGTAGTATGTAATTGATGTAGTAGTGATTGAGCAAAACTCACCTTTTGCATTCTTTTTGAAACCATATGGGTCTTTATAAACCCTCCAAAGGTGTAAAAAATAAAATGTCAATTTTCTGTTAGTGTTTGGTTTTAGGAATCATGTGTCTCAAAAAAACTGTTTCAAAAAGTCCCCATTTGTGATGTCACAAAAGGAGAAATTAGCAAGAAAGATTTGCTACTGGAGGAGCAGCAGCTCTACTCCAAGCTCCTCCCAGATATCGGAGCTTCTCAATTTATAGCAGTCTGCATGGGGATGAGTGGGCGTGGCCAGCTCCAGCTTGTTTTCTTGAAGTGACAGAGCCCTGAAACAGCTCATTCTGGAAGGTACTGAAAATATGAAGAGATATTGAGAGAAATTTAGAGCATAGAACTTCAGAAACATGTTTTGTCTCGAACATATAACTATTACAATGTAAAATAGTCACTATATGTCTTCTGTAAGTCTTGATTTGCAGCCTGAAACAGAAACTTTTAAAACATTATAAAAGTCCAAACCAGTGTGTGTGTGTGTGTGTGTGTGTGTGTGGGGGGGGGGGGGGGGGGGGGGGGGGGGTTTACACAAAGTTTCAAACAAAGACAAATAGAATCAAATAAATAAGAAACTGCTGATGCAGTAAAACAATAAATCAAAATGGGAATATTTGGATAAAAAGGAAATTTTATAGCCTGAGATTATTATTAGCTTAAATATTATCATTGCCTATATTGGTGCTGATTAATAAAGATCATAATAATAATAATAATACTTTTTATTTCAACAGCGCCTTTCTAAACACTCAAGGACACTCTACAGACAGAGATAAAATACACAACAATAAAAGACAGAACAGCATAAAACAAACAGACAGATTGGAGCAAAGAGAGTAATTATTGGAATGCTAGACGGAACAGGTGGGGTTTGAGTCTGGTTTTAAAGAGAGTGAGGGAGTCAGTGAAACGGAGGTCAGGAGGGAGTGAGTTCCAGAGCTGGGGAGCAGAGCGACTGAAATCCCTGCTCCCCATGGGGACCAGACAAACAGGTGGGACAGAGAGGTGGATGGAGGAGGAGGACCTGAGGGAACGGGTGCAGGCTGAGGGATGAAGGAGGTCCGAGAGGTACGGGGAAGCTAGTTATGGATGGCTTTGAATAGGAGACTTTTGAATTGGATTCACATAAATAATCCACAGTACACACACACACACACACACACATGCACGCACGCATGCACGCACACACACACACACACACACACACACACACACACACACACACACACACACACACACACACACACACACACAAATGTGCATCCTCCTGCCTGTTTCCTTGCCTTTCCTCCACCAGGGTCAGAGGGATGTGACAGAGTCGGGTCTCCCAGACAGCAGCAGCAGGAAGTTTTGACAGATGGACTTCTCGAGGCCGCCTCAGGGAGGTGACGTCTGGCCGGAGAGGGGGGACACAGCGAGAGAGGAGACAACCAGACAGTTTGTGTGTGATCGGAATGGAAACGGCAGTGGCTCTGATTGGAGGCTACAGCCAGAGGTCGGCTGGGGACCAGATGAGAGCCATGGAGGGAGAACCTCGTTCACATTTGAAATCTGACAGCAAACATAATTTATCTGATGTGGGCAAACATCTGCTGCTGTCTGATGAACTAACTTGCATTTATTTATTTAAATATTAAGGCTTATTGAAACCATTGCATGTGTTGAAAAACTAGGGAACTTGGTCTTTAAGCTACAAATGAAGCAACAATCCTGGTAAATGTGTCTTTGACCATCCAATCACCAATGAATTTTTCATTTGTGATAACAGGAGAGTGATTTTTTGTTGTCATGAAAATCAAAAATTTGAAACTCTGGGAGGTTTGGGACCCACTTTCCAGAAGGTCTTCTCGTTGCTATCTCGGAGCTTGTTTATCTCCATGTTTTCCCACATTGCAAGTTGTTTGGGATGAGACGATCACCGTCTGAAAAGAAGCTATTACTTATGTGGAGGTTTTGGGAAACTGAGCATAAGCCACCAAATAGGAACCTGACGGCAGCGTTTATGGGAAACAGAGATGCCTGCCTGCCTGCCTGGGTCATTTCCCACCACAGACCTATAGACCCATGGACTCCAGATCGTCTTCTCGACTGCGGCTATCATCAGTTTTGTTCTTCTGAAGATGAGTTAAAACCGAAGCAGAGTGGAAGCAAAGCCACACACCATTACAACACCACAGAAACACAGCAACACGAATTCCCCTTCAGTGACGTTGTCGTACCTTTTAAATCAAGAGGAGACACTCCTTTACAACTTAATTCTAACTTTAAAGCGTCTGTGTACAATTATATGACATTATATCAGTCAGCCTCTTATTTGCCTTTATTTTTATCAGCGTTTCAGAGAAATCAGGACTCCATCCTGTGATTTAGAGGTCGGGCGACACTGAGCATGCTCACAGACGGCTAATCCAGGCTGTGTGATGACTGAGCCACAACAACTGAGCCTCTCACTCGTCTATTTTCCTCCAGAGCAAGCTGCTCAAGCATGTTTAGCACCAATTATGTGCTTTTGGGGAAATTGCCAAGTTTATATTTAGTGTGTTGATGTGATTTTCTGCGTTTGTGGTGGTAAAATTGTCAAATTTAGAGCTAAGCTTTGATCTCCTTGTCTTTTGTTTTAGATGACTCACTTAATCTCCATGTTGACTTGTGTTGAGGCTGAAATACCCAAAATTCCTTTTCATGCATTTTTGTTTCTATTTCGGGCCAAAGAATGATTAAAATCCTGCAACACATCTGAAGGAGTTGGAAACCCTGCAGCAGATGGTCTGGACTTCATTTAGACTTATGATGCAGAGATATGAATGGATCAGTGAGTTTCTATAGCGTCCTGCTGCTATCTTCACTTTCAACATTTGCCAATCTAATTTAGATTTGTAATGAGACTCTCTGAACCTCCATGTTAAATAGTTTTATAGCTCTATAATAGTAAAATGATCAGAAAAAGGGACTTTACAGATTTCCCATTAGAGCGGAACATTACATGAGCAAGAATTTTACAGCTAAATAATCACAAAACAGTCGAATGTCTCAGTCATGTTGGAAGGAAGGTCACATTGAAACAGATTTCCTTCTCAGCTGGCTGCGGGGGTCGTCAGTTTTTTCCCTTTTAAAAAGGCCAAAGATGCCCGCACTGCCCGCTCACCACAGCCATGCAATACACCTCATCAACACTCACTAACACCATATTGGAGCAGGCGGAGGGAGACTAGGGGTCTTAGCACACCTCTGTTGTTGCTTGGCTTCCTGGGGCTGGAGGCTAGGAGGGAGATCCGGCTGTCCGGTAGGGGTCTGGGGTGGTGGGTTGCTGTGCTCAGCGTTGGGCGGGGGAGCCTGCTCATCAGCACCCCAGCAGAAAGGGTTGAACTCTGGGAACCGGTAATGGTTGTACCCCATGCAGCAGTGTCGGGACCAGAGTGAATAGGGTAAGTAAGTAAGTAAGTAAGTAAGTAAAAGTTTATTTATATAGCGCCTTTCACAGATATAAATCACAAAGCGCAGGGTGTGTATGGGGAGCATGAATGGGTGTCCGGCGTGCATTTTTGTAAGTCTTTGGTTGTATGTGTATGTGTGAGCATGAGGGAGGGAGTGTGTGACTGTATACGTCAGGTGGAGCCTTTGACTCCTCTCTTCTCCTGGGACTTCTTTTGATGATATAGATCTTTGTCTCCCCTCTCCCTGCTACACCTGGTGTGGAGTGCGGTGCCTTGGTCTGCCTGAATGTTCGTGGCTCCCGGGTCAGGGGGTTTAAGATTTTTGGCATCTGCCTGACCAATCCCAGTGGCTGTCTGGTGGGGTCTGGGTCCCTGGGCTCTGCTGGGTCCCCGGCAGTGGTGGTCGCCCCTGGGTCCCGAGTCGCTGGCTCCCGGGCTCGGCCGGCTGGGGGTGAGAGGCTGCGGGCGGGCCAGTGGGCTTGCCGCCGATATCTCCCGGGACTCTGCCAGCTGCTGGTTGTGGCCCCCCGGGGCGATCCTCTGCGCCTCTCGAGGGGGGCAGGGGCTTTTCTGGTCGCAGTCTCCCTGGGGTTCCTGTGCTCTGGGGCAGTTCCTGGATCTCTGGGACTTGGAGCTCCTTCCATTTCCTGCACATCTTTAGGGGCAGATCTGTGGCCCCTCACACTCTCTATTGGACGCTCCTATAGAGAAATCTTACATAAACAAGCACATGTACACATACAGGTGCTCACATAAGTATGGACTAGGGCACGTTTAACACAGGTCTTAAGGCTGTGGTTGGCACTAAATGCACTGTGATTTATTATCGTGTGATTGTTCAGTTAAACAATGTTGATTATATATTCCTTCATCAAGTTGACGCAGTGATAGCTTGATCTTGTTGTATTGTTGTTGTGTCCCATTTTTTATTTATTTATTTATTTTTTCCTCTTTCTGCAGGTCTAGAAGCAGACTCTTGTTCATTATTGTTTATTATTGTGGACCCCCCCCCCGCACACACACACACACACACACACACACACACCACCACCTTTTGTCTCTTCCTTTCTCTTTCACTTCTGTCTCCGTGTCTGGTCGAAATTAAAAAGCATCCAAAAACAATAACATTAAAGTTTTAAGTATCAGGCGTGACATTAAAAGCAGACACTTTGATGATCCACCTGAGAGTAAATCTGTAAGGCTTGTCACCAGCATTCAGACATCAATTCTGTTTGCTTCACAGCCAGACAGGACATGGGGGGAAAAAAGGCCAAAGAAGGACGTAGTCTTTGTTTGCAATCTGTGAGCCCAATGGGTTGCCAGAATGTTCATGTTTTTACGAGCATGTAACTGATATCTGTTTTAGCTGCATTTCTTGTTTTATTAATTGATTAATTAATGTAATTATTTTCATTTTAGTGGTATTAGACGTTTATGTTTTAGTGTTTTACTATCTCTTTAATCCGTTTCATTAGTTATTTTACTATACATATTAGCTATTATTATTAATATTAATATTATTAATGAACATTTTTTCTTTCTACTTATTTTAATCATATCAGTGTTTCATCTGTGGGGCCCTCTGCCTCGGGGGTGGTGGTCGACTGTGGCGATCAAGGAGCTGTGCTAATGTGGTGGTGGGGGTTTCTGTCCTTCCTCCCTGGGCGACCTGGGTTGGGGCCTTGGCTGCTGCTGTCGATCAGCTATTGCCGAGGCAGATGGCTTACCTGATGGCGTGTTATTCATTATGTGACCAATCTGAACTCAGCCTAGTGTTTACTTATGCAGTTTTTTTAGGTTTTGTGTGTGTGTGCCTGGCAAATGGGTTGTGGGATGGGAGTGTAACTGTCACAGTCGTTTTTATATTTGTGGGGAAGGGATGGGAATATGGGTTATATGGGGTCATTATAATCTGTTAAGCACTTTGAGCTGCATTTTCTTTTGTATGAAAAGTGCTATACAAATAAAGTTTGAATGATTGATTGATTGATTGATTGATTGATTGCCGAATCTGAGCCAGCAAATGCTGCGGCTGGCTAGAAGCTAACATTGAGCTAACAATGCTAACAGTCAATAAGAGGCAAATTGTCGGCTCTAAAAATATCTCAAGCTACTTTTTCCAGTTACCAACTACTTGGTTTTACAATGAAATGTGTTTATCTACTTATCAACTTACTGTGTATAACTTGTCTTTGCTCATAACCTAGAATCTTCTATAGCTGAGCTGGAAATAAACATGAAACTCACCAAACATTAGTGAGAAAGTCACCTGTTTTAGTAATTGACTGCAGTACCTACATTTGACCACAATATTCTGATTTCATCATGCACCTTTAATGTAACACCAAATAGTTAATTTAAAATTTAAGCTAGAGCTTTAACATTGATCTCTGTGAATGTTGAGTTAAAAGACTTGACCAGTTTCATAGTTGACACCACTCTGCAACCCTCTACTGGCTAGAAACTGTGGAGCAGGAAGGTGGCCTATAGGGGGAGCTCTTTATCTGCTTTCTGGCTGTTAGCCGTTATGCTAGCAGTTCGCCTTTTCAGTTCGCCTATTGTCAATAAAAAAACCAAAAACACAAGAAGACGTTTGCTTTTCTAATAGCATCATGGTGGAGACTGGAAGCAAAAGTAAAAGAGCAATGTCTTTGAAGGTGAAGAAAATCTCTAAAACCATTCTAAACATTGACACAGCTTATGCTAGTTGGAGGGAGCTAAAGAAGGCTTCAAAATCACAGACTGATGGATACCTGGCTTTGTTGATACTGGACTTGTAAGTAATAATTTTTTGTGGATCTTTTTACTTTGTGGCTTATTTAGTATTGGCTCATGTTAGTGTTAGCTCGTTGTTAGCACTAGCTGTAGCTGCAGCAGGGTTGTTTACTACAGTTGTAATTCCGCTTTCAACCAGTAAGGCAGAGCAGCAGGAAAGTGCTGAGTGTTAGCTTAAGTGCTTCATTGGTTAAAAAAAAGAACTTAAACTCATTGTTTTTCTCTAAACATTTATTCAAAGCTGATACAGCAGCAATAGAAACAGTTCTGCAAAAATATACCTCAAATATATTCAAAAGAAATCAGTGATTAAATAGGTTACAACTTGTAATTGTGACAACATGCAGGAATATATTAGAACAAAGTACATATATTCTAGTAAAGCTTTATAGAAAAGCTGACGAAAGCTACCTCACTGGTAAAATAATCACGGCTGACAAATAAAACGAACCCCTAAATAAAGATTTACAAATGTATCACATTCTGCAGCTCCTCTACATGCCGTTTTGGGGTCTGTCAGTTTGCTCGTCAATTGTAGGATCTCCCTGTGTAAAAAACACAAACGTATCAGTTAAACATTAATCAAGTGTTTCTCAACAGAAGCTAATGAACATCACACACACCAAGACAGAGAAGGCTCCAGAACGTCCCGACTTCCCTCTTTTGGGTGGATCGAGCTTCACCTGTCTCCTCACTCTGGTCACCTGAAAAGATTTTTTATTGAACTCTTAGTCCCTTTGATTTGGGACGTTATTTAAATGTCTAAGCAGTTACAAAAAACATTTTTGATTATATCCGAGTAGTCGCAAAATAGAACAGATCCCATCATTTAAATAAAACACCTGCATGGTCAAACCGAACGTAAAAAGAGTCAGCAAACACTTTTCAATATCAGATTAAGATGATCGGAGTTGTGTGGGCTTGTGTGAAAAAGGAACTGAACTACACCGGATGGTTTTCTATCATGAACGACATCTCGTTCACTTTTTTTTTTTTTCGATAAATAGTGGTCTCCAGTATAAATGAATCCCTTGTGTGTTGTTCTCTCTGGGAAAAAACTCCGGAGCTCTTGTTTCAGGAAGTAGAAGTTAGCTTGATAAGTGAGGGGCAGAAAACTGCAAGATTTGGAGTCTTATTAATATTCATGATATTTGTACATCTCACTTCTGATTGGCTAGCAGCAATGCAACTCTTCTACTGCCTCCATTTCATCAGCAATGTTGATGTTTAATCTCCACAAATAACTCAAGCTTGAAAGAGTTCTGCCATGTTGTGGAGTTGCTAATGCTAACGTTAGCTTTGTGCTCTGCTTTCTCCAATCAGCAAAAATCAAAACAGCCTTCCCCGATCATGAGCCAAGATGGGTGCGTCCACAAATGTTAATTTACAGTGTGATGTAGATCAGTGTGGCTTTTTCTGACTCCAGCGTCTCCCAGTCATGTTCGGCCTGTGTGTGAAACTCGGAGTGACCGACCATTTAATAAAAACAAACTATAAAATTGTTTCTCACTGAACCTGCTCTTTAGAGTTATAATTTCAGTCTGCAGCAGTCGTTGTGTCCTTGGGCAAGGCACTTAACCCTCCTTGCCTGCCTGGAGTAGTCAGAGAGACCGGTGGCGTCAGTGTTCGGCAGCCTCCCTTCCGTCAGTTTGCACCAGGACGTAGTTTCTTGGTCGACAGAGTGGGCATGATTTGTTGCTTTTTGAGATCTTTTAGCGTACTTAATGTTGATTCTAATTCCTGACTCTACCGATCTGGGAGTAATAAGGCCTCAGGTTACGTTTGTCTCATATTCAGGTATTTTTGCTGATCCGAAAACTTCAAACGACATAAAAAGCGAAAACATAATAAATCAGTAAAGGGGGCAAACACTTTCTCATCTGACCAAAGTCTGCTGGCACGGCGGGCCTTCTAGTCCCAGCCATGGTTGCCATGGAAACTCACCTGTAGGGGGTTGTCTTTTCTGTCAAAGCTAAGAAGGGAGAAGGTGCCGGGGCGAGGTCTTCTGTTTTTCTTAGTCACTGCTGGAGTCAAGTGTCTTCTGGACCTATCGGCCTAGGAAAAACAATGACACAGGGATTACACACACACACACACACACACACACACACACACACGCACACGCGCACACGCGCACACGCGCACACACACACACAGGCTACAAGTGAGTTGATTTTTCTGGATCCTTCCTGCCCGTCAGCACACACTGATGATCCAAAATGACCAAAACCTCACTTGATCTCTGGGCTCTCACTATAAACCACTCCCTGCATCCCTCTGTATTGGGTTTGTGCTGATTTATGTGTGACTACACAGAATGGTTTACCTGAATGAGAGTGTTAGGGAAGCCCTTAACAGAGAATGCTCCTGGTAGGCTGGAGTGACTCAGGTGGGTGGGACCCCTCCGCTCCAGCTGCCTCTTACGTCTGACCAAATCCTGCAAGGATGGGACAGTCAGAACCGCAACCACAGAAGCAAACAACAGTGATGAGACACGGATCTAGTTTTGAGTGAGAGTTAATCTGTCCCTGCTGCGTTTTCTCCTCCTGTCCTGTTCGCTTTAGAAGGTTCTCTTCTTTACTGAGTTTCATTTCAGAGGCCAGGAAACAGCTAAATGAATAATTTTTCTTCCATTGATTTTCTATATAAATCCCTGCTATTGATTCACCAATTCTTTCTTAATGAATGGGCTGTCACCATGAGAAGCAATGGGAGTCGACAGTTGGCCACGAAGCGCTTGTAATAATTCTGAGTCCATTTAATGTTCCTACAGCGATTGTATTGGACCTTTTCCCACGATTTCCAAAAACCCAATAAACTAAGACTCAATGCTTTTTTGGGGGGTCAATATAGGGAGATATCATGAATTTGGGAGTGACTAAACCTCTTTTGGGATGTTTTTAATCCATAGTGCCTCTTTGGCTATACGTGAAAGCATGGCTGGGTTTGATGAAGACCCCAGAAAAATTCTTTGGATGTCTGGTCAAAAAAAAAAAGAAGAAATTTGTGTCTGTCTACATTCAGCTAAAAATGAAACATCCTCACTCTCCTTTTCCACTGGATGTGTGTGCAGTGTGTGAAGTGATAAACACATTTTACCCGCAGGCTTCCAACCAGGAGCGTTCTGCACAGAGGGTCTCGCGAGGTCATGAAACCACAGGAGAATTGGAATACCATGTGTGATTTCGGAAGTTCAGAAAGGTCTGTGGTTTATTTTCTGTTCTGTTTACTGTGGCTATGGAAGTTTCACAGGAAATGACATACTAATAATTACTAGTTCAACAACTGAAATCGGCATGCGCCTTTTATTTAGAAATTTCTGGATGTTTTACACTGCTTTCATATTTGACTTCCTGTCTGACTCGATCAGAACTGCAGAGTTTGACGTGTTCTGGAAGCATAACGCGTAGAAAGTAGACTTTGAATCATGAGAAATGTGTCCTCTTGCTTCTGGGATGAATCCAAAATGTGACGCTTCCATGCTGGTAGAAAGACACCCGCTACGTTTTGCAACACATACGAATTTGTTGGAAAGGAGGGGTTATGTTTGAAGCAGTCCAATTTAAGACTCTTAGATCAAACATGGTGGTAGTAGCATCATGGTGTGGACTCACACATAAAATACTAACTGTGGAATGATGCTTGTTTTAAAAAGACACTAGCCCTGCTTCCACCATTGGAAAATCTGGGTAATTTTACTGGACCTTCATGTCATGTGTGTGTCTCCATTTTACCGGGCAAGCCCAAAAGGACCATTTAGGAAGCTACCGATTACCTAAACTGGGATATGTACTTGGAAGGCTCGGTTCAGTTGCTGGGCTGGATTTGTGGTTAACTCTTGCTGATTGGTTGTAACTCAGTAGGAAATTACTTCGACAGACCCCCCCAAAAAGGTAAGAGTTGCTAGTCAAACTCTTGGCGGGGCGGCTTCGCAACAAAAAACCTTAAAAATCGTGTCTAAAATACATGGGAGTGGGCCTAAGTCTTTGGAGACACATCTTCTACCACGGGAGCCCGTGAGTACAAAATGCATTTACTGATTTATAAAAAGTGTTTACAAAACTTTCACCATTCATAAAACTGTTTTACATATTTACCTCTTCGCTCGTTGCCAGTGATGAAAGGGAGTCTGACTTGTGTGTTATTCTGCTGGAGGTTGAACGATCTGACAAAGTACTCGTTTGAAAATTGTGCTCCAAGAAATGTTTATGCTTCTTTATTTGGCAGACGCTTTTATCCAAAACAACGTACAGTTGTTAACCTATAGGACATGTTTAGATTTTCTACCTTATGGACATCTGTTGGTAAGGTCTCACTCGAACACAAAAATACCGCTTTCTCGCAATGATTTAGGTATGTACTACCCCCTATCACCAGGGAAAATACACACAGTCCTTTTAAAGTCAGAATTTCTAAAATACTAATGCCTAAAAAAGTGGTGGAAATCCCACCCACAATGCCAACATTTTGGCCTATTTTTGATCTCACAGAGCACAATAAAAAATGACACATCTTCTGGTCATTGAATGCCTCTTTTTACATCACACAACCACCTCCCTGTCCCCTGAATTACTTGAATTCCAGCACATAATGACAGAATAAAACTATTCATGATATTAAAGTCTATGGACGCTGATCAGTGACATCACATGTTGCCGAAGCAGTTTTTGTATGGAGACACAACAGCTGAGAGCACCAAGACATCATATCTCCCAGTCACTGGAAGCCCTATAGTGGAAACACGGCTATCGTCGGACACTAGAGGTTGAAAAGTTCACATGATCTGATACATTTGATATTTAATACATTTTATGATCTCCCTCCATGAATAAAAGCCCAAATTACAATTTTTGGCCATCTTTTTGAGATCTCCTCGTTTAAGACAAACGCGAGCGGTTGTACGTACCAGCCGTTCATCCAGCGGTAGAGGTCTTGGCTCTCTTTTTCCACAGAGCTAAAGGGAAAACAAAGAAATCTAATTATCCTTCCTTTCCATAAAAATAAAACAGCTCTATAAACTGATTTATTTTGTTCAAACAAGAATCTTTTGAACATTAAAATAAATCTGAAGGCTTTTTTTAACTAATGTGTTAAAAATTTTCATCAAAGTGTGTCTCTGCACTAAAAACGTGTCCCATAAATTTCTTATTTAATGAGAAGCTCTCATTTAAACTCGTTAAACTGACGCAAATGCGTTCGATGAGAGGACGCTGCTGCTGGTATTAGTTATCCGCCCCACCACAACTGAAGCTTAGAATTGGGCATGCTGCAATTACTTTACAGAAAAAGTGCAGCAGAAAAGCACATGTGGCACAAACCCTCTCAGACCAAACTCCTCCATGCAGCTGTTGAATCTTTTGTCCAGATGAGGATGACTGCTTTGGACAGAACATGAGGACCATCCGCAGAAAAATGTCAACCACAAGTTTAAAGTATAACAGCTGGTGGCCACATGAAACGCCAGGAAGGTTTTTGTTCCATGGAGGGGTTTATTTTTGGTGTGGCGGCACCACGGCTGTAAAAACCATCACAATGAGACTTTGTCTTTGACAGAAGACGAAAAGGAATTATACGTCTGCACAGGTCAGGGTTGGACAGTCTCCTTCCATCCTGGAACACACGTTTATTTAAAAACGGACATTCCAGCAGAGTTTCCTCTGGAGGAGCTACTGCACAAACACTGACCACGTCTAACGGGAAACTGAAGCGCAAACGTTATGAAAAATCACAGAAAAATTATGTTTTACAGAATAACTAAGTTGTAAAAATGTGGAATGAGAGAGAATTTACATTTTAAAATGTCAAACTGGTAAATTCCCTATTTCAAATACAAGTTTATCTAGAGAAAAGGCTACAAATAAAAGTTCAGAGAGGTTTTGCTGCTGAACTTCTCTTTCTTTTTGCTGTGATGTTAGTTATTATGTAGTTTGCAGCGAGCAAACAGCATTTAAATGGACTCAGACTGGCTGGACTTACCTTGTCTCAGCAGCACAGGTGATGACTGACACAATGATGATCACCCTCGTCCCTCACTAACTATCAGATCCATCAGAAGTGCGTCACTTACCTGTCTGTCTGCGGTCCGTCCACCGACACACGCCTCTCCCTGACTCGCCTCGGCGTGTGACAACAGGCTCGCCTGCAGGCACAGCACACACAGCCACATGCTAAACCCCATGATCCAGGCAGGAACTAGACTGCTCCCAGCCTCTGTCAGCTCCCTGCTTTATACTCTCGGCTCGGCTTTGCTAATGGGGAACAGATGCAGAGGAGTGGGAAACCATGCCAGCTTCACTCAGACAAACAGCACACCACAAGCATGTGCTCCACGCCAGCCAGTGGCCTGTGGCCCCAGCAGAAACATGTCAGACATCCTGCGGGGGCCTCCCCCTCCCACCTACTCCCACCAACCCACTCTACCCCAACCCGAAAAAAAAAAAATCAGTGTTTTCCACTTACGCCTGCATTCCAAGGGTGTGAGAATGAGAAAGAGGAAATTCGTGTTGTCAAAACTCCACAAAGCGAATCAAATTCAATGGTTTTTATTTGGATGAAACGCAGCTTCATAAACGTGTTCTTTTTGTTCAGACGTTCTTTGTTTTTCAGCTTCAGGGCATGGAAATGACTCCACATAAGTATTTTTTTATGTAAGTGAAGTTTTCATCATGTAGACTTGATGTAAAACTCCAACAGTTAGAATATGGTGCAGAAGTCCATTTATTTCAGTAATCCAGTTTAGACCGAGAGACCATCTAAAGGTCCAGGTCTAGAATATTGAACCTTTTCACAATACTCTAACTGTCTGAGATTTAGAATGTTGGGTTTTCATAAGTTGTTCGCTCAGTCGTCACAATTATAACAAATAAAGGTTTGAAATCTCTGGCTTTGCATGGAATGAGTATCTCATATATTAGTTTAACCTTTTAAGTAGAATTACTTCAGTGAGTGAACTTTTGGACCATCTTCTTTGAACACAAGGAAATTATGAATGTGGATGTGAATTAAAGGATTAAGTGATGCTTTTTACATCACGACTTAACCATGACTTCATCCAAAGTAACAGAACTGTGGCCATTTTGGTCAAGCCTAAAAAAATACCACTCATGTGGGATCACACAATCTTCCACAATCTGTAACCACAACAAAATTTACCTTCAGATCTGTTAAGAAGTTATCCTAAATGTCAAATTTTACAGAAAAAATTATAAAAAAATTATATTATAAAAAATTATAAGTATGCAACATAAATTTGAGGAAATGTTCTTCTTTGTACATTATTCTTAATTTTTAGCTAAAATCTGCATCCAGATAAAGAAAAGCTTTCATGGATTCAAAGTGCGAAACACTGAAAAAGCATTTTATAAAACTTATTTCTGATTATAATCGGTCACTCTTGAGTTTTTCATGCGGGCTGACAATGAAAATGGGCTCCTACAGCTATCTGCTGCATTAGCGTCTGATAGAAAATAGACGGTAAAACTCTAGGATTAGAAAATTCTGACAGATCTACGTCACACTGTCACTAAACAGTCATGGACTCACCCATCTTGCTTCACGACGGGGAAGGCTGTTGTTGGTTTAGCGTCCAGGAACCAGCAGAGAACGACTTAATTTAAGCTAACCGTTAGCATTAGCAGCTCCACCACACAGCTGAACTCTTCCAGGCCTGTGAAGTTGTAAGTCAGAGGTAGAGTCGTGTTTCTGTTATCCAATCCAAGGTGAGATGTCCAAATATCAGGAAAGACTCCAAATACTGTGGTCTGAAGCTCAGCTGTGATGTGGCTCACTTCTAGTTCCTGAAAATGGTACACCGGTGTTTGTTTCCCCTCTGAGTACAACTTACAAGGCATTTGTTTCTTCTAGAGACCGCTGGAAATGTATTGATTAAACGAGTGTTCCACACCTTTATAAGGTTAATCAGCTGTAAATGAGTCTCCAGTATTTCGTTTTTTTATGTTTTATTTAGAACAAAATTTGTGGTTCATGAGAATTTTTGCTCCTCTGTGTTTTCAGAGGCAACCCCGAGAAAAAACAACTAATGTTGCTGTGAAGTTGAATCTCCTGTTAGTGTATCTGGTGTGTACATGCTGACAGGTTTAGTGAACCGCTGCGGGAGTGTTCAACCATTAAAACAAAAAGAATGCGTCTCCTGATGGTTTACGTCGTCTGTTAAAGCCTCGAGTGGTAGTGAAAAGGAGGAAAGTTTAATTTCCTGTCTGAGTCAAGCCTGTTTGCTGCTTTTAGATTTGAAAACGATTGTGAAATCAGTGAGTCAAACTCTTCTTCACACTGAAAACTGGGATTGGGTGTGTTAGGAATTGTTATGCAAGCATTTCCCGGGAGATTCAGGGAGACCACTGTCTGGCCAGCTGTCCGGGCTAATGATGCGGATCAATGGAGGGGATGTTTGCTCTGGAGACGAGGGAAAAGGGAGGAGAGAAAAACCATCCTGAAGTAGCTAACGTTGCTTTATTTGGCAGCCGAGCCCACATGAGCTGGAGCAACACGTCAGCCGTCCGCACTCTGTTTGCACCCGGCTGTAAAATCTCCTGGAAAGCATGTAAAAAGTGTTGTTACCAAGGTTTTCGGTTCAGATTGAGCTCACATAAACCAGAGTGGCCACGTAAAAGGACAGTAATCACAGACAGGGAGAGTAATTTCATACTCCAAATCCCTCTCATTCACTCAACACTTTCATGTTGAAAGTAACATTTTCGAAGCATCTGTAGGAGTTAACCGTGCGAAAATTGCTGTGCTGAACCACTTTGTGCACCCCCCACACCCCCTGCCTCCCTATGGGAACTGTCATTTCTCAGTGACTCGAAGCAGAGACGCTGTCACTGAGTCTGAGGATGATGCTCTGATGGCAAACCACCTCTGACCTCATGAGAAAACACACACCTTTTTTCCACTCAACATATCGTGCTCTTGTGTCCGAGGGAGGGGGAGAAGACAGGTAAACTGTGACATATACAGAAATGTGTTTGTGTGTGGGGGTGAGGATAAGTAACCGGGCGATCTAAGCCTGGATAAGGAGACATGGTCATTATGTAACTGGAATATCGACTCCACAGACAGATTGTCTCAAATCTAATTAAAATAGAAAAATGGAGTGCTAGGGCTAGAATAGAGCTCCGTGCAATAGAGCTCCGGGAGTTGACGTCACTTCTCCTGGCATGCAACAGTTCAAATCGAAACGACGCCATCTTGGCAGGCAGAAGCCTGCAGCTAGGCTATTTGTTATTGTCATAAAACGCAATCAAACAGGAAATATGGTAGACTCCTGTTGTGTCCCAGGATGCAGAACAGACACAGACGACATAAGGGATGAGCCATCTACAGGATTCCCCAAGATCCGGAGCGCCGCAAACGTTGGATCATTGTAATAAAACGCGCTAGTGACCGGGCTAAAATGAAGCTGTGGGATCCCGAGAGTAAAGGTTTTCACTTATGCAGCGACCACTTCATATCAGGTACTTAAACCAACGTTTCCTCAACTGTGTATGGTATTTATTTTAAATGCATTTATTACGATTCTTAGTGGGCTTCCTAAACTTATTTTGGCGTGGCTTTTTCTGTCTTATTACTCATAGCAACAAGTAAACGTCACGTAAAACGTTGCCTCGTGAGTTCTGCGTGCTGCCGTTTACGTGTTTCATGATCACAGCAATTAACCGGCTAAGCTGTATTTCATTTTTAAGCAATGGTTGATCAATTGTCAGATCACACATAAAAAGCACTTTGGATTGCTATTATCTGTCTCACCGAGACAGATCTCAGACAGATCCTGAGACGCTCCTGCCTGACATATTTATTTTATTCACGGAAAAAAATCAAACTAGTGATTTCTCTTGGAGTTCAGTTTATACATTCAAACAGCACAGCACTCTATTTAAACTACTTACATGTATTCGTCCATCCATCCAATTTCATCCGCTTATCCGGAGTCAGGTCACGGGGGCAGTAGCTCGAAACCCGCAGACTTCCCTCTCCCCAGCCACTTGGGCCAGCTCCTCTGGGGAAATCCCAAGGCGTTCCCTGGTCCGCTCCGACAGCTTCTGGCATTTTTAAAAAGTATCCCAGGGGCACGGAAAGGGTCGGAGATGTTTAATCTATTTAATTTCTGACTATATAAAACGATTTCTTCGGTTTTAAAGTGTGAAGTAAACTCCGACGGAGTAAAATCCAAGCCGATCCTGTTCATTTTGTTTACCTTTGTTGTCTGCCAACATGGCGTCTACTCTCTGAGAGTCACGTGACGTCCGAAGCTCTATAGAAAAGTCACGCACCATTATGACACTGACAACCCAAAATGTGGGTCTGGACCTAGCGTAAGCCATCCTATATATGTCAAATAATCTGGCTGTGACCCATGTGCAGAGTCAAATCTATGGTTGTTTTTCAAACCGTCTCAACTGGACAGCGCTAGGACCAATCAGAGCAATGTGCAGTGTGACAAATTCATCAGTCAACAGGGATAGAAGTAGAGGAAAAAACACCTCTATCTGCTCCTGTCTCAAAGAAAGTCTCAAGTCCACAGCTGATGCCAAAACGGCTTCAAACGAGCACCGTTCCTGAGCCGACGCCATTGTTGCTCCATCTCAGCTCTGCCCTCTCTACATCTCTCTCCAAACACCGAGCGCTGTGATTGGCCTGGCCTACACTTAGCCGAGCCAATGGTAGACCTGCTGAATATTAGGTGTTTAGAGCTATATCTGTTATAATCTAAAAGAATTGCCATTTGCTCAGGAGGTGGAGCGGGTTGTTCGGTAATTAGAGGGTTGTCGGATCGATCCCAGCTCCTGGCAAAGAGTGCTGCTGTTGTGTCCTTGGGCAAAGCACTTAACCCAGCTTGGCTGCTGGTAGTGGTCAGAGGGACCGGTGGCGCCTGTGCCCGGCAGCCTCGCCTCTGTCAGTGTACCCCGGGGCAGCTGTGGCTACATGTAGCTCATCACCATCAGGGTGTGAATGTGTGTGTGAAAGCATGAATGATACACTGTAGTGTAAAGTGCTTTGGAGTCCTCTGAGTCTGAAAGGTTCTGTATAAGTGCGGGTCATTGATTATATTTTAAAGCCAGCATAAAAACACCTTTTTCTGCTAACACGAGTGGATTTGCTTCACCCCTCAGAATCCAAGCTTTATAACATTTCCAGATTCAATGAGCCATCGACACGACGGTCAATTAGCCTCAAAAGTCACTTCCTCTCAGGCCTCTATTCAGCCTCAGCATAGACGTGCACCACAACACGCTTCAAACATGTCTCTGAGCTGCTGCACGCACAAGTGCATGATGTGGATGAGCGGGACTCTCATGATGGACACGCTTTTGCATAAA